CACCTGTCGGTGTTGCACTGAGCAAGGTAATTTTGTAGAGGGGAGGTCAGGGCAGAGAGAAGGCATGATGCTTCTTTGTAACTCATCTGAGGCCCAATTTGTGGCTTTGAGTCAGCTGCTACCTTTGTTCCCTCATTTGGAGCCTGAAAGCCCAGGCCCTGCTTCCTCTAGCCCTCCATGTTCCTCCACCTGAAACACAACAGCAATTAAGCTGCAACTCAATGGCTCTTTGGCAGACTAAAGCAAGAATAGAAAAATCCTTGCCTTCTACAGCAAAAGCAGTAAGTGGGCACTGTTATTATGTAGAAGCTCAGAATCTCCTTTTATTTCTTAAGCACAGAGTCCTTCACCTTTTCTGGGTGTAATAGCAGTGCTGTTTTCCTGTGGCACATGGATGTGTGTTGCAAATATATTTTAACGTGAATTCCTATTCCTGACCTTAACTAGCTGCACCTCCCAGCTCTGCCTCAGAGGTTAGATAGGCAAATGATCAGCTGTATTTGTACTTTCTTGGGTTAACCCCTTTTTTTGTCAGTGACTGACTACTGTATACCAGCTGTAATTGAGAAAAGAATTGAAGTCATTCGTCTGCATGTATGTGTTGAAATTCATGTTGAAGCATGGAGGGTAGGGAGCAAAGCCAAACTTGTGTTAATCTGGACAGAAGACTGTGAACATGGTTTTTATATCTAGCATAAATACTAACATCATGGACAATCTTAAGAGTTATCAAGTTCTATAAACCAATTCTTCTTGCACAGTTAATAATAACCAATTTTTCAAAGTGTAGTGTCATACTAGTACTGATTTTGTGTTCCGTTATGGTAATACTGAGGGCTCAGGCACTTTGTGATGATCCTGTGCTGGCAGCTGTGCAAATACAGAGCAAAATGAATAAAATGGTGGTGATCACCTGTAAGGGTATTGGCTGTTGTCACGGGCTCCTTGAAGTCACCAGCCAGAGTAAAATTCTCCCTCTTCCTCTTAAGTGCATTGGCATATAGATGGGGAGTGACCTATCTACAAGCGTATCTCATGGCTGTGCGGGCAAGATTCTCTGTGTTGACCTCAGTGGCATTTAGTGCTGCTGTGTTGGGGAGGGACACTGCTCTGAGAATATCTGATTGCAATCTGGGAACTGAGGGCTTCCTGTGGCACTTACCATATACAGTTCAGCTGTTGAACAGGAGCATGGTGATCCATTTGCCGGGAGCCTGGTCTTGATGTGGCAGCTCAGGGCTCAGCTCGTGGCAAGAGTGCTGTAATCAGTGAGGATTGCTGAGATTTGACATGAGCTCTTGGCCTCCCAACACTGACCTGTCTCAGAGGAGAACGGAGCTTTCCAGATCTACTGACATTATATGGAAGGTGTTTTTTTTGGGTGCTGCACTATTAACACAGAGCTACGGTCTGCACAGGAGTTATGATGGTGCCTGCAAGGCCACTGCTTGTGGACTGCCTGGTGTTTCTGTTTCGTTGTTATTTTGCAGGATGTTATGTTACTATCTTACTTGTCATAACATTTGTCCTGCTGCCAGGGGCAGCCTGTTGGGTCCCCTGGCCAATTGCAAGGCATCTGTGTTGCTTGGGAAGAGCTTTAATGGGTGGCTGCCTTTATTCATTATTTCACTTATGTACTTGCTGCTTTACACATTCTTGTCCTCTCTTTGCAACCACTTCCAGCCTATTTGCATTAATTAGAAGAACTGTGACTTTCCATACTCTCAGAGTAGGCTGGAGAGCCGTAACTCACTATTGGCAAGAAGCCCCACTGGCACCTGTGGCTTGTGAGGGTACACCCACACCCAGCATCTCAGGTGCTTTTTCAGGGTTGCAGCTTGCACCAATACCTGTGATGCTGGGCCTAGTGTATTGTCTGCACCTGAGCTGCCTGGCTCCAGGGCGTTGTAGGCACATTTGGGGCTGTTTAGTCTGGGGAAAAGGAGGCTGAGGAGAGACCTTACTGCTCTCTTCTAATACCTGAAAGGTGATTGCAGTGAGTGCGGCGTTGGTCTCTGCTGGCAGGTGACAAGAAGAGGGGAAATGGCCTCAAGTTGTGCCAGGGTAAGTTTAGGTTGGATATCAGGAAAAACCTCTTCACAGAAAGGGTTGTTAAGCACTGTAATAGGCTCCCCAGGGAGGTGGTTGAGTCACCATCCCTGGATATGTTTAAAAACCATTTGGATGTGGTGCTGAGTGACATGATTTGGTGGAGGGTTGTTAGAGTTAGGGTAGTATGGTTAGGTTGCAGTTGGACTTGATGATCTTGAAGGTCTTTTCCACCCTGAACAATTCTATGATTCTGTGATTCACAAGAGTCTCCACCTTTACAGCAGGCAAGTGACCCTACTGACGTGTGTGATGCATAGAGGCAGTGGTTCTGGGGACTCCGTGAGTTACCTCGGATCCTTGTGAAAGCAGTGCTTGCTGTCATGTTTTTGTTTTGCTTGTTTTCTTGTGCTGTTACATAGTAAATAGCATAAAATTCACTCTCTTTGTATTTTGGTTGTGGTCTTGTAGTGATTCTTTTACATCCTGTTTAAAGTCCAGATTTCTCTAATGTATGGTAAAATTTCAAAATATGTATCTCCCGTTGCCCTTCTCTTTCACCGTATTTCCTGAATTGATCGTAACCATACATGATGTTTGAGGTGGCTGTTATCAGCACACAACATAAAGCAGGATAGGCACTATGTTATTCAGTAGTCTTTCTTTACTAAAACCTTCCCTTACAAAGGTGTGGGGATTTTTTTGTGTGCATAGGGTCTTTTTTTGCCAGCTGTACTTCAGACATTAATTTGGACACCTGAAGCACGTGTGTTCTGTCTCAGCCTGAGGAGCCTTATTTCTCACAGTGCTTGATGCCTTAGAGAGAGGCAAGAATGAGTGACTTTCAGTTTGAACAAACTTGCTAGGATGAAATTCTCTTCAGGTGTATGTGTGAAAATAATTCTTTATGGTCAGTGAATTAGATGCTCTTCTTTGACAACAGTTTTCATTTCTACACTGCTTTTGCCTGGAAAGACAGTAGGAATCTACACGTTTTGGGTGTGTTAACCTAACAATTCAGTGACGTGCTGAGTGAAGTGTAGCTGAAAGGCATTTTAGGCATTAGCAAATCATAGAATCACAGAATGGTTGGGTTGAAAGGGACCTCACAGCCCACCCAGTTCCAACCCTGTGCTGTGGGCAGGGCTGGCAGCCCTGCCACCCACCAGCTCAGGCTGCCCAGGACCCCATCCAACCTGGCCTTGAGTGCCTTAAGGTATGCACTAAAGGCTCCAAGTTCATGTTGATGTTCAAAACAAAATTAACAAACAAAAAGATCTTTGTTTCCTACTAGTGACCTCAAGGTGAGATGACCTGTAAAAATTATAAGACTGAAGTGTTTTGGGAGAGTGGTACTTGTTAGTGATGCTGTAAACCGAGGTTAGCAAACATTCCCCTGGATCATGTTGCTGGATACCTACACTGAGTCAAGAAGGTGCAGTTTCACAGGGATTTCATGGAGAGGGTATTGATGAGTGTCTGGCTGCTTGAAAGGCACTGAGATGACTGATGGCTCTAAATTAATACAGGAATGAAAGCTTTCCATCTCATGGCTGCCAGTTCTGATTTGGCAGTGATGAAGAAGGACTGGAACTGCTGGCATGTTTTGAATGATGGATGTGTCTTGAATCTGTGATCTCAGCATGTTTTTTACTGATGTGTCTCCTCATCAGTCTAATACTATTTGTCCAGAACTGCCAGCCCAATGGTCAGCGTGCATGGACCATGACTGCTAAGGTACTCTTTAATTGCCAGGATTTTCTCTATGGCATAATGATTGCTGCATGTCTCACGTGCTGCTGTTGTTCAAGGTGTGCCTTGCTTTGTCTCTCTGGCAAATCATAGGATACCCTGAGCTGGGAGGGACAGTGAGGAAAATGGAACAACAGCTCATGTCATCTGCCTGGACTTGTGCGTTTGACACTGTGCTGCACAACATCCTTGTCTCTGAATTGGAGAAAGATGAATCTGATGCGTGGACCATGAAGTAGATAAGAAATTGTTTGGTTGGCTGCACAAAGAGTCTGGTGAACAGCTCAGTGTCCAGGGGAGAGCGATGTGCCTTAGGAGTCGATACTGGGACCAGAGCTGTTTAACAACTTTGTTGGCAGCACAGGCAAGGGTACCAAGCACACCTTCAGCAAGTTTGCAAGTGACAGCAAGCGGAGTGGTGCAGTTGATGTGTTGGAGGGAAGGGATGCCAGCCGGAGGCAGGCTTGCAAGGTGGGCCTGTGAGAACCTAATGAAGTTCACCAAGGCCAAGTTGTGAGGATCTGCTCTCATCCCAGAGGAGAGATGTGAAGATGATCAAGGGGCTGGAGCACCTCTCCTTTGAATATAGACTGAGGGAGTTGTGCTGTTCTCCTTTTTATTGGGAAGACTTGGTAGCCTTCCAGTACCCAAAGGGGGCTGCAAGAAAGATGAAGAAGCACCCTTTGTCAGGGATTGTAGTGATAGGACAAGGAGTAACATTTTTCAACTAAAAGAGGGCAGGTTTTTATTAGACATAAGGAAGACATTTTTTACTATGTGGTGAGGCTCTGCCACAGCTGCCCAGAGAAGCTGTGGGTGCCCCATCCCTGTTCAAGGCCAGGTTGGATGGGGCTCTGAGCAGCCTGAGCTGGTGGGTGGCAGCCCTGCCCACAGCAGGGGGTTAGAAACACACAGTCTTTGAGGTCCCTTCCAACCCAAACCGTTCTGCCATTCTATGTCATTATTGAGCCAAGCTGTGTTTGGCCAACACCTGTCATCAGCCCTGCTTTTTGCTTTGTTTACTGAGTAAAAGGAGTAAATTGTAGGTGTCTGTACCACTTATGCTTGAATTCTTCAGGACATTTTGTGCCTGCATTGGGTCCTGGGTTATTACCAAGATCTGCTGCTCTCCCTTGGATGCCTCACTTGATTTCTTTCCTTTTTTCTTTTCTGACTTTGCCTGTCTCTCCATGCTCCAGGCACACGTTGTTCAAATGATAATTACTTGTGCTCTGCCAGGGCATTAGACTGGATTTCATTATCGCCTTCCTTATTAACTACTGAAACTTTGCGGTGAAGTTTGGAAGCTTCCAGCGGGAGCGGCCGACCCCATCAGAGTGAGTTGTGCAGTATGTGTTTGTGATGGAAGCGAATCTTCAGGGAACTGAAGCAGCTCTCAGCTCCTCCCGGGTGAAGCAGTTTATAAGGTCAGAGCCAGAAAGTCGCGGTTATTCATCCCTGTTATTACTTCCTGAACATTATTGTTATTAGTCCCTTAGCAGGAACTGGAGCGGGCATAGCGGCATGCTGTAAAGCAGGTAGATGGTTTCTGGGATTTGCAAGGAGAGTGCTGATCTTAAATTTAATCCTCTTCCATCCCTGGGAAGGACTGAGCACACCTGAATATAAGCACTGTTTGAAGGTCATGGGATGAATTCGGTTGGTTTCAGACCAATCCCTGGTGTGTGCAGAGGTGAATTCCCCTACCACCTCTGCATCCTGTGAAGAAACCTGAGGCGTGTGTGGATCATAGGAGCTGACCTTGCCTTGGGTCAAACGTGAGGTGTGCTGAGAGGCTTTATACATGCACAGCTGCTTTTTCTGTGGCTTATGCTGTTTGGACCCTGGGAATGAGAGTGGCTGCATTTCCTGGAATGTGGGGCACTGTGGAAAGCCTGACCCTGGCCAGAGGCTCAGTACGGGTGGGTACCTCCCAGCCCTGGCTCCCTTTGGGAGATGGCTTGGTGCTTCTAGAGCTGGGCTCTTGGAGCTGTGACCTGTGACTGGGAAGGCATCCCCGGTCTCTTGGCAGTGCTGAAGTCTTTGGGCTTAGTTCTCATCTCTGCAAAGTGCCACATGCTTTGTCATGTGAGCAGGACAGCTGGCAGCTGTTGCCCTGTCTGGAGCTTCTCCCAAGGGTGAGGTTCTTGGGGTGAAGAGCCTTCCGTGTACCACAGCCGTTTCAGATGCTAATAGGTTTTAATGGGCGCTGGGAGGCGGCTGACCCACATCATAATTATATACGAGGAGAACATAGTGGCCCTCATTTTCACGTTATACAATGCATAACTGCTCTGCTTGTTCTCATGTCTGCTGTAGGTCATAAGTAAGCTGAGGCTTTCAGCAAGGCTTGGGTGGATTGCCTGCCAAGAGTCAGGGTCAGTGAAGGACCCAAGGGGTCAGAGCAAACACTTCTGGTGCCAACAGATAGCGAGCGGGAGGCACTGGCTCAGCATCCTGCAGCAGCCTGGAGGGACGGGTCCAAAGGAGTGGTGGGAGCTGGTAGTTTCCTTGCCTGAAGATTGGCCACCTTGCACAGCCATGGGACCTGTGCTTCCTGCAGCTTTGTGAGCATGTCTGTCAGGGGTTCAGCCCAGCGCCTGCAGCACCAGACTTTGGCCGTGGTAGCTCAGGTGCCTGGGGTCAAGTGGGCAGCACCAGTCCAAAAGTTCTCAGATTTGGCACTGTTAACACCGATTGCTGTTGAGTATTTGTGCAAATGGTAGTGCTGGCACAGGCTTAAAGATGCTTGTCATTAAATGTGTCACTCTGCTATTTATTTTATTAGTATTTTTATGCATCTCTCTGTGTAACCCAGAAACACAGGTGCCCTGTATCAACACAGTGGGTGATAAAGTTCACGTTAATGGTTATAGTTGTACTTAACGGTGCTGAGTGAACCTGGCAGAAGGAACAGAGTGTTCAGGTGGGTGGGTGGTTTATAGGGTGATGTACTGCTGGGCGGTAAGGCAGAGACAGCCTGAAGAAAGCAGCTTTTACATAGGCAACACAATGCAAAGCAAAAAAAAAAAAAAAGCACCAAGAAAACCAGCAGCCTGAAGACCACTGAACTCACAGTGGAGCCAGGAGCAGCCTGCTGGTAGCAGGGCTGTCATGGCACCTGCTGGTCCCCACGGTGGGAGGCTGGCAGGTGTTTGGGCACCTCATCCACGGGTGATGTGAGGTCACTGAATTGATGTGAGCTGAGGATAGGAGCTTGGAGTTGTATTATTTTATAGTGTATTAATGAGGGCGTATGCTACAAGTGCGTTGTGACACGTGCTCCCTGAAGGACGAACAGGTGCTCTAAGGTTTCTGTGATGTTAGACCAAACCCTGGTATAAGACATTATTCTTATTAGTAGGTCATGCTTGGACTTTGCTCTCATATGGTAAATTAGGAGATAAATTATCTGGATATCTCTTGGTGCTCTGAAAACAAAAGCTTTTTGTTTCTCTAATGCCATGCACGCAGGGCGTGAATTGTAGGGGTGAGGCTGTCTAAGGAAACGTGATCCACGCACCCCTGTGATTGATCACAGTGTCAGCCCACTGACTGCTAGGCATGTTCCTTCTTAACGCCGTGCAATTGGCCTGCCTGCAGGGGAAGATTTTAGTGCTTCAATTACCGTGTCTTTGTTGAGCCCCAGCAGCACATCGAACAGCTGAAAATGGTGTTCCAGGCTGCTCCTGCTCTGCGTTGGAGATGATCAGATGCTTATGCTAAATGCTGTAGCATGCAATAGCTGTGCTTGTCCTCCTGGCAGATGGCAAAAAGTTCAGCAGGCTGCTTTTCTAATATATTGCATTCCGATTATGAAGGCTTTTTCAAGAGCTTGCTTTGGGATATCAATGTTTTGTTACTTCAGCACAAAGAAATTCCACCTGGCACTCCGCTTCATACAGAATGAAATGATGGTGACTCCAGCAGGACGCTGGCTGCCAAACCTAATCAGGTCTCTGGGCAGCCCTGCCAGGAGCATCCTGTGCTCAGTGCAGCACCCAGCCCAGCTCTCAGCCCTGCAGCTCCCTCCTCATGCTGCTACGATTCACGCCCTCCCTGCTTCTATGGCACTCACCTCTGGTAGCTGTTTCATGCTAAGGACACACCATTACTACCCAGTGGCTGGCACCCTAGGCTCAGAGAACATGAAGTGAAGACAAAGGTGTGGAGCCTTTCAAAGGAGTGTTTGTTTGTGGAACAGCACAGTTACAGGTTCTGCTGCAGCCTTTGAAGGAGCAGCCAGTTTGAAGAAAGGGAAGCCACTACTTCATCATAGATCACTTCGTTCTAGAACAGATGCGTAAGATTTGGTCAAAGGTGGCAGCAGCAGTTCATGACAACAACAATGGATGTTAAGGATGTTTTAACCCTCTCAAGCTCAGCTGGAAATGAGAACAATGTCCTTTATTTCTGAAACAGGTGCAGTACTTCTTCAAGATTCTGGACAGCTGAGAGCCCCCACCCTCAAAGCAGAAGGCATGGGCACAGAGCAGTGTTCATTCATTTATTTGTCCAATATGTCAACCTGACTGAAATACAAGATCAACAAGAGCACTGTACTCCTGGCTAGTATTACATGTTAGAACATAGAGTTTTGCACTTCAGACAACATTTAACACCATTCTATGGGGTACTGCATTGCTTTTATAAAGTTTAAAATAAAGATTTATTTTCAAACATGTGACTTTGGTTTATTTCATACAATACACTTCCTTGCAGAAAAAATAAAATTGTACAACTGCATAAATATAAAATTCATCCACCATGAAAATGGTTAAAACATTCAATAAAGACATTAGCACCACAGTGTGCGATGCCTCCAGAAGGAAAAAAAAAAAAGAAAATATACAAAGCAAAGAGTTGTGCCTATTACTGAGGACAGCAGTAGCCTGACCCAGGTCTCTCACAGACACACTGGAGGATGAGGGAAAAGATGGAGAGAGAGACAGCATTCGCTACAAAGCACAGTACACAGTCATCTATTCTCTTTAACCTCACTTAAGTTAGTTTAGCCTGCCACCCCTCCAAATAAAACATCCTAACACCACAGAAAAGTCAGAAGCCTTATGGAGTGCTGTTGAATAGAGTCTCACAGGTGGGCCTTTCTTTTCAAAGGAACAAAATAATGAGAAGTATCATGCCAGTTCTAGTCCCATTGAGTATTTACACCTTGGACAGCAGAAGTCTTTGCTCACAAGAAGTAGAAAACAGATACGATACATGGCTTGAAAAATGACCAGAGTATGCACCTATAGTACTGTACACTAAATAAAATACACAAGGCAGCAATACTTAGGGGCCAGAAACACTGCTTACTACAAGTCAGTTATGGAATTATAATTTACAGTAAAAATGGGCATATCCCAAGGCTCAATTCTGTTTTCTTTTGTCATTTACAGTAGAATAAATATTTGTCGCTATTGCTACACTTGGTTTACATTCTAACCTAGTAAATGCAGAAAGCTAGTGTAAAGCATATAGATTACGTGTAGGTCCCATACGTATGACAGTTTGTTCAAGACTAGTAGGTTTTCTTTTTTGTTCTTTTTTTTTTTTAAACCTTTTTTAAATGGCTAGGAGGAAGAGGGGGAGAGAGAGAGAGAGTTGTGCTTACAATCAGCTGCTTTTTATGTCAAATTTAATATCAAAGCGTCCCTGGAAGCGGTCTTTGTCGCTGTACTGGATGTTCTGCCCAAAGGCCCTGCATTCCACACGCACTTCCACGTCGTAGGTCAGGTTGGTGAACTGCACTGCCACCAGAGGCTGCAGGTAGTGCGGCTGCAGGAGCTTGCCATAGTACGGGTAGTACTGCAGGGCAAAGCCTGGGTAACCACCCATCCCGTAGTACTCCACCGTGCCGATCTTGTCTGAGTCTTCATCCCTCTGAGATGGGGAAAAGAACAATGAAAATACCCATCTCGTGGCTGTGTTCTCTGGTTTATTTTATCATTACTGTGCCCTCTCTCTGGTGACCACTGTTCCTCGCATCAACAGCCTCACCAGGGCCGCCCCAACCCAAAGCAACCCGAAGGGCACCAGGGAGCTGCCTACCCACCAGCTCCCAAGCTGGGCCTCTCAGCACGCGCAGCCAGGAAGAGCAATTTTTGTAATTCACTTATTTAAAAATTCACTCAACCACTTCTTTGTACATTCAGAAGTCAGCACAGCTTCTTGTGTGACCACTGTCTTTGGTTAAACAAAAAACAAAACAAAAAAGCCTCAAAAGCCTCTGCTGCTTCTCAGCAGCTTTAGCATTCTATGTAAATATCTTTTCACTAGAGCCATTTCCCTGCCATCCTTGCTAAGACCTGCAGTACAACGCTCTGCAGCCCTACAGCCACTTCTGGCCTCACTCTCCTGGTGAGGGCACTGCTGTTGTTCATCACCAAGGGTGCTTGAAAAGCTCCCATTACTGAGGAAAGAGCCCCCATGTGAGAGCCACCCCAACCGCCTGCTGAAGGGCAGCAGGAGGTGGTTACTATTGGACAAGGACTCTGCCTGCAGTTCCCCACCTCTCCATTGTTATATCTCACTTACCTTGGCAACACAGTGGACAGGGATGAGATAGGGGTTGTATTTTCCTGCAAGACCTAAGGGGAGGCTCTCATTTTCTGGTGCCTGGAAGAAACCCAAAAGAGGGCAATGTTAACACACTGGATGATGCATCCTCACAGACTGGGGTACCTTCACAGCAGCAGAGCTCAGCGGCACCAAACCACAGCCAAAAGGAACCCCTTTGGCTCAGCTCCTGAGGCCACAGCCATTGCTGACAGTTCTTAGGAAAGACAGGCAGCGTGACACAACTGTGAGCACTGCAGTGCACCCAAGTAAAGCTGCTATCTGCTCCTACAGATATTTTCGTTTCATGGAGTCACTGAAGAAAGCGTCTCATGTTTGCTTGTGCAAATGTCACCCAGTGGCAGAAGGAGATGCAGTGCTGGGAGGTTGACAACCTGACCACCAGGTGAGTGCAGTCAGGACTGGAAACACACAGCAAAGAACAATAGAGGTGGTCACACCCTGACAACGTTCCTGAACTTTGACATCACCCATGTGGAACGGCTCCAGGAAAGCTGGCAGTGCCAGCTGTGTGTGCAGAGCTCAGATCAGCCTGGCAAACACCATCCCCCACACAAGAGCTGCAGGGCTTCTGCTGAAGCATGGAACAGGGGAACACATGAATACTGCCTCAGATACACACGCTTGAAGTCACACTGTGCCCAGACCCTGCTCTTCAACACATACCAAACTCTCCTCTTCCTCAATCACACTGTGCGTCTTTACAGCACCCTGCAGCTGCCACAGACTCAGCACAGGAAGTTCCTGCACACACAGTTTCCACCTGGGATCAGATAATTCAAGATCCAACTGATCTCTTGTAGCACAGGACAGCCTACCTTTTGTAGAAACTTCTGTCTTCAGCCACACTAGTGATCCAGCCTTTCCCCCTCCTCTCAACTACACCTACTGATGGTGATGCAGGTTGCCTGATGTACCAGCACATGGCTTTCCATCCAGGAGATAGAGCGGTGTGCTGAGCACCTTGCCTCATTCAATAACTTGCCCTCTGCCTCTGAGTTCTTGCAGAATTTATTGGCATCTCAATGGGCTGGGGAAAAAAATAAAGTAAAAGCAGCTCCTGCCCAGAGCTCACTTCCTTCAACAGTTGCCACAAACCTGCCTCTCAGTGCAGCACCAAGCATGGGGCAGAACAGCAGACACTCATGGTTTTTCTGAGGCTGCATTCAGTAAGCCAGAGCTCACCTTGCTCACCTTGTCTTTCTTGCTGTGAGAGCTGTACCAAACTCCCAGTTGTATTTTACAGTTCATAGCCTAATACCTAATACAGCACTACTGCATCAAACTAAGTGCTTTTAGCAAGGCAGGCAGCTCTTCAGCCCCTGGGGAAGGCATCTGAGGTGCAACACAACTGGCTGATCCTATTGCAGACACCATAGGTCTGGGACTGTCATGCAGCAGCACACAGGTAACATGGGTTTTTATCATTTGAAGAAAACATCTAATTGGAGTAATTCAGTTAGCAGGCTCTGCAAGTCACCAGAGTTGAGCAGGAGTCTGCACTGTGACAGCTTATGGCTACTTGCTGTGAACCTGCAGTATGCATTTTCTGTTGCTTTTTAATGAAACCATTTTTAAAGCTGGCCATACAATGGTCTCACAATCTCTCCTTCGCAGAACGGGGTTAATACTGATTTCTCAACGAAGACAGAAAAGCAGGCATAAGCTGAAAGACTTTTCCAGACCCACAGCAAATCTGCAGCCAGCTTCCCATCCTCATCAGTAGCTTCAGTTACAAAGGGAGGAGGTACTTGCCTTAGGTTTGAAGCCGATAATTCTGTTGAGCTTGACGAGAATGCATGGTTTGCCTTCCTTGTACCCAAAGGTGTTATCCTGTAGCCCAGAGCAGTTTTCCAGCCACTCACGCTTGAACTTGCAGACCTTCTTCTGACCTTGGTCATCATTGTATGGTCCTCTCTCTTTGTAATCCATAGGTACATCTATCATGGGGGAGGAACGGAAAAACAACCACATGCAGTTTGACCTTCTTCTCATCAGAGACAGCCCTATTTCTGCATCACTGTGCCCTCAGGATTTCCCACTCGCCCACATGGGCAATACCACCTCCAATACCAACTCTCAGATTTTACCTGCATGTGTTAAGAGCTTATCATCTCATTTCCCTCTAATATCTTCCAGATGTTTTGTTGAATTGCATCAACACTACTGACACTGGCCCCAGTAAAGTCACCAGTAAAACTTCCCATGGTTTTCAGGGAGGTTATAAAGTCAGTGCTATGTGGTGTGGAGAATCAGCTGCAATCTTCTCCAAGAGAAATCTGCAAGTCCCCAGCCACATATCCTTTGCAATAAGTTTCTGTTACATCCCTGGCCAGGCCCGGTCTGTCCAAACCCATCTTTAAATGAGCAGCTGACAGAACTGGAACCAAAGTCCACCAGTTAAAGTCTACCATGTGGTGCTGGTATGAGGAAAGGGACAGATGAAGACAGAAAATGCCACTACTGACTCTCATGTGCCAATGGACCTGACAGAGGCACTGGTCAGAGCCCTCAATGTAGGAAATAACCAGGACTTACCTCCGCAGTCCTCAAATACGATGTTGTTAGTCTGCTCACCAGCACTGTACTTGCTTAAGAAGCCCTCCAGATTCTTCACATACGGGTCATAGCTTTTGGGATCAGAGACAGTAAAGGAAATTTCTGTCTTTTGTACCTGAGGGACTTGAGTCAGTCCTAAGGAAAACAAAATCAGGAAGAAAACGTTAAGTACGCTTGGGAGCTGCATGGCCTGCAGGCAGTACTACATACAGGAAGCACAAAGCAGTATTACTAATCTGTATTTTTCAGGCCTCACGACTCACAGAAAACAACTTAAGCTCACTGGAGGGGAGGTTCTGAAGGGCTCTTATCTCCAGTTTCCACCAAGAGTCTGGAATATTCGTCATGAGGTTTGCATCACTGCACAGATAAAATCACAGCCCCAGAAGGAAGGCTACAAGTCAAGGTTTTCCTCCAGAAAAACAGACAACTACAGTCCCCTGCCTCCTCACCAACAACAGCAGGAAGCTGCCTGCATCTGAGAGTAGCCACACCATGAGCTCCAGGGACGCTGGCTCCTACACATGCAAATCTCACAGGGTGACCTGGAAAGCTGCAATGCTTCCCAAAGAGTTGGGAAACACCGCTCCACCAGAGAGATGCTTCACGGCTGTCCTATATCCTGGGCTGTCTGATTGGCTCCAGTTTTGACTTCAGGAGGACAAGTAGAAAAAGAATGCATGGAACAGATATAAGCAGTG